TTGCTTATGCATATGGAATCCTCTCCATGCGTTCCCTTTCGACAGGTGTCTTAGGACAGATAGCCTTAAAGAGATGAATGCCACGACCGACAATAAGAAAACCCATTTTCGACCCATCCATGCTAAACCTCTTTAGCATCTTGTCTATGTACGTGGATTGAGACAATCCCAGCAACCTCTTGGATCTATCTCTATAGATTTGAATACCTAGTATATAAGCTGCCTCTCCCATATCCTTCATGGTGAAGTTCTCAGACAACCAAACCTTCGTGGATTGTAACATGGAAATGTCATTTCCAATGAGCAATATGTCATCTACATATAGCACAAGGAAAACAACAGCATTCCCACCAACCTTCTTGTAGACACATGGTTCATCCTCATTCTTGATAAAACCGTTATCCTTTACGACTTCATCAAAACGAAGATTCCAGCTCCTGGAAGCTTGCTTAAGCCCATATATATTGACATTTGAAGTTTGCATACCATATGCTCTTGACTCTTGGATTCAAAACCATCAGGTTGTGTCATATACACTTCCTCCTTCAAGAACCCATTCAAGAAGTCGATTTTGACATCCATTTGCCAAATTTCATAATCATAATATGCGGTTATCGCTAGCATAATCCTAATAGATTTGATCATGGCAACATGTGAGAATGTTTCCTCAAAGTCAATTCCTTGCCTTTGACGGTAACCCTTCGCAACCAACCTAGCTTTTTAGGTTTGACTGTTGCCATCAGCATCAGTCTTTCTCTTGAAAACTCACTTGCACCCAATATGAACTATTCCCTCAGGTGGTGGAACCAAGGTCCATACCTTGTTCTGATGCATCGAATCTATTTCGGATTCCATGGCTTCTTGCCATTTTAAGGAGTCAATATCCTTGACTGCCTCATTGTAGGAAGCAGGCTTGTCATCCTCAACGGTCTGCTGATTCTCAATCACAAAACTGTACCTCTCAGGTGGATGACTAAACCTAATGCTCCTACGGGGCTGGGTGTCTACTGCCTCTAGTTGAGGCATTTCCTGATCAACAGACTTGGGTTCCTCTATCTGTTCTTATGGGTCTTGAATTTCTTCAAGTTCTACCTTTCTCCCACTATCTTCTTGAGAAATAAGGTCTTCCTTAGTGGGCTAAGAGAACGACTAGGTCCATTAGTCTCCGGATGAGCCTGCAAAACTAACTTATCTAGTGGGTTGATCTTATCAACAATATCTCCATATCTTCTCTTAGATCATCAGGTTGACAACTCTTTGTCACTTAGTGTTACATCATTATGTAACAACCTGGCCCATTGCCCTAGATGCATAGACCCGGCTGAGCCTGCAGTTTATGTATCTAGTTTAGCACAAACCATTATCCTAAGTATCGTACACTTCAAATGGCACCCTTACCCAACTCAATGATAGGTCTTAGCTAAGCTAGAGAAGAATGTCATCGATGATGGGAGGCAATCATAACATGCTAGATTTTTTATTTCAGGGTTCTTTTTTAGTCTCATCATTAGTTATTCCTTTTTCCTTTATCTTGCATGTTTCCTTTTAAACGGCTTGTTTAAACATGCATACTAGTCGAGGAATGATCGCGTTTACTTAAGCATGCATACTAGTCGCAAATTCAAAAATTCAAAATTTCAATTTCAAATTTCAAATTTTAAAAAGTAAACAGAATTCATAATTTTGAATAACAACTTTAAAACTTGAAATCACAGTCCTATATATTATTCTAGTAATATATACTCATTTTTCATAATTTTTTGGGATACTTCATCGGTACGCACTTATACCGTGAGCAAAACTGGTATCTGCACTTTTCGTCAGAAAAGCGACTTTCAACATTATTACTCACTTACCATAATTATACAAGCCTTATCATAATTATTAGGGTCAATTATGGAATTATCTCATTAAACTCATAATTAACGAATTAATTTCCTTAATTAATGGTGCAGGTTCTTACAGTGAGCATGTATAGGTTGATATCATGATGTATGTATTTATTTACCAAATGACATGTTCTACATTTGATTTTATCATTTGGGAGATGATATGTAAAATTATACATGACTGGTATAGCCGAAGTTGATTCATGGTTGGGTCAATGGATTAGGCCTTGAATTGGCAAGATAAATGTATGTTCATGTTATCAAATTGTCAATTAGGTAAGCAAACGTTAAGACATAAAAGCAAGGAAGTGCTGTCAAAATTTTGTATACTTGTTAGTACAGATTTCCAAAGAGCATATCTCACTCATTTCATAACCAAATGAAGTGTGTGAGGTATCAAATTAAATCTTAGGGTGTCTAGCTTCTTATCCTAAAAGATGGGATTTTACTGGGTTGTAAAACGAAAGCATATTTCGAATGAAGGATGACTGTCCAGAAACGCATGATTTTTGCAGTTTATGATATTAGGTCAGTCATGCATGGCATATTGTGTCTGAGAGTGTCTATGGATTGTTATCTTGGATTAATTGAATATTTCCCGGATTGAGTCTTGTACATTGTTGGGGACAACAACGTTTAAATCTGGGAATGATTTGATGTGCCTCTGGAAGATGTAGTTTTCTAAGCTGAAATTGATAAGAATTGAGTCATAAAAGAGCAATTTAAATACATATTTGCTAATTATATTGATTCTTCCATGGCAATGATATTTCTCACCTATTGGTTGTGTTTATACAGGTAAAAGAAGTGAAAATTACAGAATTGTAAATAGCCTGTTGACGCTACTCCACACAGGTGAAGCACAGTACAAATTACGAAGTTTGCAGCGGTGTCATTGAAGTGGCAAAAGTTGGCGCCAACCTGCGCCGGTGCGCAAATACAGATGAAGCATGGTACGAATTCCAGAGACATGGCACCAACTGGCGCCAAATCGGCGCAAATTGGCGCCACTATGTGAGAAGTCCAGGACAGACTTTTGCGAATTTTCCAGAGGCATGATGCGATTTGGCGCCACACTGGCGCCAACTTGCGTCGGTTTGCGGGAAAAATACACCGTGTTTTCAGGAGGGTATTTTTGAAAGAGGGAAAATAGTCGTATAAATAGGATGCCTTTTACAGAATTAGGGATCAAATCCTATTCTATTCAAGAGAGACGACGGTGGTGCTCAGGGAGAGTCTTGCAAGGAGCTATTTCATCTTCTTCTTCTTCTCTTTTCCAATTTCCAGTTTATGTTGAATATTGCTAGGTTTGTCATGATAATGGTTGGCTAAGTTCTTTTTATTGTAGTTAGGGTCACAAACTCTATGTGAACCCTTGTTACAACGGATTGGTTTATAATTATTCGTTTATATAATTATTTTTATCTTTACCCTGTGCTTATTTTATATTTTCTTTATTAGAACTGATCAATCTAATAGTTGATGATAATCTGAGGGTTAGAACCCTAAATAGGAATATTGGGGTTTTGATCGTGAAAAGGGGTAGGATAACAATTTATATGCATGCTAGGAATAGATGTATTTTAATTACGGATGTTTAAACTATTGAGTTTATTGCTTAATGCCATGAGGAACATTGCAAGAAATTGGGGTTCCAATTAGGGTTAAAGGGTTAACCTTACAAGGAATTGAGGGTTAACTATTAAATATTTTTAGATAATAATTTATCTGAGTAATTATATAAATGAGTATTGTAAATTAATCCAAAGTAAGAAGTGGGAATCATTCGGTGAGTGTACTCTAGCTAAAATGCTTTCTCATATTTTTAAAACATCAATTGCTGTTTTATTTCTCATAAACAAAAAGCCAAAAACAAGTCTTTACTTTTAGTTTTTATTTTTACTCAAATCAACCACAATATCTGTCACATCTATTTGAACTCTTCCAATTTTAAAAGGAACAATTATTTGATATTCAATCACAATCCCTGTGGAGATGATAACTTTCTTATCACTTTATTACTTGTGCGATCGGTACACTTGCCGGTGAGCATTACTGCAGCAGAGGAATCATTGAAAACAAAAACTCCAGAGCAAGCGCTAGAATTGCTGGAATCTTTAGCTTCTCAAGAGTTTGACAATGCCCCAATCTCACGCAGGAGAGCAGGGATCATGAAGCTTGACGACTATGATGCAATATTGGCCCAATATGAACAAATACTGCAAATTAATAAGAAACAACAAGCACAATTAGATGCCCGTACAAAGTAATTTTCTAATTATCAAGTTTCTTCTGTTAATAATTCTCAAATTACTTGTGGTATTTGTGCAGGAACTCACGCGACTGAAGATTGCGATTACATGAGGACACCTGAGAATGCTGAAGTCAACGGAATCTGGTACGATCAAAAGAACAAGGATAATTCGGGGAGGAACCAATATGGAAACAACTATAATCAAGGGTGGAAAAATCAAAATCAACACCCAGGATTAAGTTACAAATCAAATCATCAGTTAATCCTCCTTTACCAATGCAACAACAACCCCACCATAAGGTAACACTTCAGAGTGGGAGAAAGCCTTTGTATAGCTGTCCAAAACTACCTCGGACTATATTCAAAATGAAAATGCCTTCAAAGATTAAATAAGAGCTTCTCTCCGGAACTTGAAAATGCAAGTTAGCCAGCTATCAAGACAGTTCACTGAAAGAACTTAGGGCACCTTTCCGAGTAAAAAAGACACTAACCAAAATGCACAATGTAAGTCCATTGTTACCAGAAGTGGAATCGTGATCCAACCGGTGGAAAAGTCTCCAGTGGAGAAGAAGAAAGAAGTTGAACCTGCAGCTGAAGAGGAGAAAGAGGAAGATGCGGGAGAAGACGAAAAGAGCACTCCAGAAAAGAAGCTGTTCAAATGGGAGAAAAAGAAAGCTCCGGACAGGAAACCAAAGCCGGCAGATCCATCTCCCTATGCACGAGTTCCATACCCTCAGAGGTTGAAACAATAAATCCAGAAACAATAATACACAAAATTTCTGGATATCTTCAAGAAGTTACAAGTGAACATTCTTTTCGCAGAAGCTTTGGAAAGCATACCAAACTATGCAAAATTCATGAAAGATCTTCTGTCAAAGAAGCGCAAGTTGAAGGAGTGTAAAACAGTGACCTTAACTGAAGAATGCAATGCGATCATCCAGAAGAAACTTCCTCCCAATCTAAAAGATTTGGGTAGCTTCAGCATTCCTATAGCCATAGGAAATATCGAAGTAGGAAAGGCATTATGTGATTTGGGAGCAAGTATAAATTTGATGCCACTTTCCACGTGCAAGGCTCTCGAAATCAAAGAGCTAAAAGCAACTACGGTTTCTCTCCAGTTAGCTGACAGATCGATCAGACGACCTGATGGAGTTATAGAGGATGTTTTTGTAAAAATTGACAAATTTATTTTTCCTGCAGATTTTGTAATCCTGAATATGGAAGAAGATGCAGAGATTCCTCTACTACTCGGAAGGCCTTTCCTAGCTACTGCAAGAGCAATGATCGATGTGGAGAAAGGGAAACAGATGTTGAGGATGAATGAAGAGACAGTCACCATTGATGTCTTCGAGTCAATAAGCATCCGTCAGATAGAGGAGACTGTTTCATGGTTGATATAATTCAAGAAGCAGTTGATGACACGATGAAAGAGGAGAGTTCCCTGCTTGAGTTAGAGCAAATCAATGAAGAAACCAAACTTGTTGATAAAGAAAAAGAACTAGTGGTGGAAGAGCTTGAGAAAAAGAAAGATGACATCCCTCTTGGAGCACCAAAGGTGGAGCTTAAGGAGCTGCCTCCAAATCTGAAATATGCGTTCCTTGGTGACAAAAACACTTATCCGGTCATCATCAACATTGAATTAACAACCATGGAAGAAGAAAAGCTTCTCAAGGTGTTGAAGAAATACAAAGTGGCCATAGGAAGGTCTTTCTCCGACTTAAAAGGTATAAATCCTTCCTTTTGTACTCATAAAATTCTAATGGAAGATAATGTTAAACTTGTTAGGCAGTCACAAAGGAGACTCAATCCAACCATGAAAGAGGTTGTGAGAAAAGAGGTAGTTAAACTGTTAGATGCAGGAATGATCTATCCTATATCCGACAGTGCATGGGTAAGTCAAGTACAAACTGTACCCAAGAAAGGTGGAGTCACGGTGGTAAGAAACGAGAACAATGAGTTGATTCCAACAAGGACAGTCACCAGGCAGAGGATGTGTGTTGATTACAGAAGACTAAATGCAGCCACTCGGAAGAACCACTTTCCCATTCCCTTCTTGGACCAGATGTTGGAAAGACTAGCTGGCCATGCATACTACTTCTTCTTAGATGGGTACTCGGGCTACAATCAAATAACAGTAGCTCCAAAAGATCAAGAGAAGACAACATTCACATGCCCCTACAGAGTCTTCGCTTACCGGAGGATGCCCTTCGGTCTATGCAACACTCTGGCAACTTTTCAAAGGTGTATGCTTTCTATCTTTTCTGATATGATTGAAAAATCTATTGAGATCTTCATGGATGACTTTTCTGTTTTTGGCCCCTCTTTTGACACTTGTTTAGAAAATTTGTCATGTGTTTTACAAAGATGTCAAGAGAGTAACCTTGTTTTAAACTAGGAAAAATGCCACTTCTTGGTAAAAGATGGGATAATTTTAGGACATAAAGTGTCCAAAGATAGTATAGAAGTTGATGGAGTGAAAATATCTGTTATTGAGAAACTTCCCCCTCCCTCTAATGTTAAAGGTATTCGAAGTTTTCTCGGTCAAGCAGGTTTTTACAGGCGCTTTATCAAGGACTTTTCCAAGATAGCAAAGCCACTAGGCAAGTTGTTGGTCAAGGATGAAGAATTTAAATTCACAGAAGAATGTTTGATTGCATTTAATATTTAAAAGATAAATTGACCATTGCACCTAGAATCACTACATCCGATTTTTCTTTACCTTTTGAATTAATATGTGATGCTAGTGATTATGCCATAGGAGCTGTCTTAGGACAAAGAAAAGATAAGCTTTTGCATGTGATTTACTATGCTAGTAAAATTCTTAATGATGCACAGTTAAGTTATGCTACCACTGAAAAAGAATTACTAGCAGTTGTCTATGTATTTGATAAATTTAGACCGTATTTGCTAGGGTCTAAAGTAATTATTTACATTGATCATGCTACTTTAAAGTATTTGTTGAATAAGCAGGATGCAAAGCCATGATTGCTTAGATGGATGCTCTTCCTTCAAGAGTTTGAAGTTGAGATCAAAGACAAGAAAGATGTGAAAAATCTAGTAGCTGATCACCTCTCCAGGATCCAAGAAAAAGATCATCAAGATGGACCTTGTAAGAACCTGCACCGTTAATTAAATAATTATGTGATTAATGAGATAATTTCATAATTGACCTTAATAATTATGAGAAGACTTGAATAATATTGGCAAGTGATTAATAATGTTGAAAGTTCATTTTCTGATGAAAAATGCAGATACCGGTTCTTCTCACGATATAAGTGTGTATCGATGAAGTATCCCGAAAAATTATATTAAGTGCATAAATACTACTAAAATAATATATAGGACTATGATTTCAAGTTTTTAGTTAAAATAATGTGAATTGGTGCCAGAACTGATACTGGCTATGTAAAAGAGCGTACCAGAAAGGTGCTGCAAAAATTAAAATTAAAATAAGATAAATCTTAAAAAAATGAGTAGGTTCAGAATCCTAAGTTTGGGATTGAAATGCTAAGCGTAGAATTTAGCGCAAAACTTATTGTTTCAGTTCGTCATTCGGCACTACTAATCGACCTTGAAATCTTAATATTTTATTTTCATCCCAAACTACTTTTTGGAAACCGGCCAATTTATGGACTAGTTCCTCATCTCTTTGAGCCCTCTTTATTCTACAGAGTAACTCATTCTCTATTTTGATACTGCCCAACCTTATTCCACGCCTTCTTCTGATAACAGACAAATTCAGATCCCGAAAAGCTTCGAGTAGTTTAAGTTCTTCCATCATCAGGGTTGCAGTATGGAGATTCTCCCGGCTCAAAGCGTCTGCTACAACATTTGCCTTGCCTGGGCGATACTTGAGTTCAAATTCATAATCTTTGAAGAATTCCATCCACCGTCGTTGCCTCATGTTTAGTTCCTTCTGATCAAACAAATACTTCTGACTCTTGTGATCACTGAAAACATCAAATCGTGAGCCATACAGATAGTGTCTCCAGATTTTTAGTGCGAACACTATGGCTGCCAACTCCAGGTCGTGAGTAGGGTAATTTTCCTCGTGAGGCTTTAACTGTCGTGAGGCATAAGCTACGACCATATGATCTTGCATCAACACACAACCAAGTCCCTTTAGAGACGCATCGCAATACACTTCAAACTTTCTGGTTGGGTCTGGAATAGTGAGCACCGGTGCACTGGTCAATCTACCTTTTAGCTCCACAAAACATTCTTCACAGGCGTCAGTCCACTCACAAGGCATTCCCTTCCGAGTGAGACGTGTAAGAGGTTGTACTAGCTGCGAGAAATTCTGGATGAGTCTACGATAATACCCTGCAAGTCCCAAGAAACTCCGCACTTCAGTGACAGTCTTAGGTCGCTCCCAATTCATTACTGCTTCCACTTTGCTGGGATCCACAGCAATACCTTCTGCTGAAATTATGTGGCCCAAGAACTGGACTTCTCTTAACCAGAACTCACACTTCGACCACTTGGCATACAACTGTTTCTCCTTAAGGATTTGTAAAACTATCCTCAAATGTTCAGCATGCAGTTCTTCTTTGGTAGAATAAATCAGAATGTCATCAATAAATACAATGACAAGCTGATCTAAGAATAGGTCAAAGATATGGTTCATATAATCCATGAATACTGCTAGAGAATTAGTAAGTCCAAACGGAATCACTTGATACTCATAGTGACCATATCGGGTCCTGAATGTTGTCTTCAGAATATCCTCCGGTTTAACCCGGATTTGATGGTATCCTGATAGCAAATCTATTTTAGAGAACACCCTAGCACCTCTCAACTGGTCCATCAGATCATCAATTCTAGGAAGCAGATATTTATTCTTTATTGTCACCTTGTTCAGCTGGCAGTAATCTACACACAGACGTAAACTACCATCCTTCTTCTTGATAAGAATAGCTGGAGCACCCCACAGAGAAGTACTGGTCCGATGAACTCTTTGGACAAAAGCTCTTCTATTTTCTTCTTAAGTTACCGAAGTTCCAGTGGTGCCATACGGTAAGGAACAATGGAAATAGGCCCAACTCCAGGAAGAAGTTCAATGGGAAATTCTATCTCCCGATGAGGAGGTAATCGAGGAATTTCATCGGGAAACACCTCCTCGAATTCAATAACAACCGGAATATTTTGAGGTTGGGTGTCAACAGTATTTTCAGACTCAATTAGCAACAAGTACCCTTCAGCTCCCCGAAGGAGTTGTTTCCTAACTTGCAATAAAGAAATAATAGAAAAGAACTGAGAGTTACCATCTTTAGAAGGAACGATGACTTTTCCTGCTTGACAATCCAAAGTCATTCCATTTTTTGCCAGCCAGTCCATACCGATAATCACCTCAAGGCTGAATACCGGTAGAACCACTAAATTTACCGTATAAGTATTCCCTTCAAATTGTAGAATACAACCCCTGCAAATTTCTGATGCAGTACAAGATCCTCAAGTAGGGGTACTGATTTTCAACTCAAAAGGTAAGGGAGTCGGGGTGATACCTAGTCTCATTGCAGTGTGCCCCGCAATAAAAGAACCTGATGCTCTAGAATCAAAGATAACAGAAAGAGGATAACCAATCAAGATTACATTACCTCGGATCAGATTCGGATACTTTTGAGCTTCATTGGCATCAATAGTGAACACCCGAGCTTGAATAGGAGGCTGATTAGCATTCTGCAGGCAATTAGAAATGAATTGTCCCGATTATCCACACCTGTAACACAAATTGTTCCCGCGTCGGCATATACCAGTATGATTCTTCCACAAGTAGCACAAGTTGTGGGACCCTGTCTTCCTGCTGATGATTGTCTAGGAGCATTATTCTTCTTAAAATTTCCAGTCCGAGGTTGCAACTGCGGACCCTTGCCTCTGTTCATTCCAGTAATCTTTCTGAAAAACCAACCAACTTTACTTCCTCCTTGTGATTGCACTGGCTGTTTAGACAAATTCTTAGCTTCATTTATAATCTCTTCTGCTTGCCGACTCAGATTAATCAATTCAGGAAAGGTACGATTTTCTGTAGTCAACATAAGCTTGCGGATCTCTGGATGCAGTCCACTTTCATACTTTTCCACCTGCCATTCTTCATCATAAATGTTCCAATCAAAATTAGCATACTCCATCAGCTGCCCAAACTTTGCAATATATTCATTAACAGTCATATTTCCTTGACGCAGTGCCAACAGCTCCGTGTGTTTCATCCTCCTCATAGCCTTAGGGAAATATTTGTCAAGAAAAACCAGTCTGAACACCTCCCAAGTGAGATCAACATGTTGTGCTCGAAGTAAAGCTCTTGCACTCGTCCACCAAGTCAAGGCTTCATCAATCAGCTGATATGAGGCATAGTCAACCCTGTGAGGTTCATACGTTCAAAGATGTGTTCTATCATCTACAA